GTGTGTGTGTGTGTGTGTGTGTGTGTGTGTGTGTGTGTGTCAGTTGGCACCGAGGACTACGACGACCTGACACACGCACTGGAGGGGCTGCTCTGCCCCCACAATGCCGGGTGGATTTGGGCATGGGCTTGCACAGGAGGTTACAGGGGCAGAGCCATTGCCTGCCTCTCCTCCCAGCAGAGGGCCGGGTCCAGCCTTCACCACCACCCAGTGCATCAGCTGCGGCCTGCTCCACCCACCCAGCCTTGGTCCTGGTGGTCTGCTGAGGAAGACAGGGCTGTGGGGAGGGGTGTTTGCTGGGCCTCGGGGGGCCCAGGCCAACTCTGCAGGGCATCCCAGGGGCCCTGTGCATGCTCACCCGTGACTTGCGGCTCCTTGGTCAGGCATACGAGCGCGGCATCTCGCTGTTCAAGTGGCCCAACGTCTCGGACATCTGGAGCACCTACCTGACCAAGTTCATTGCCCGCTACGGGGGCCGTAAGCTGGAGCGGGCGCGGGACCTCTTTGAGCAGGCACTGGATGGCTGCCCTCCCAAATACGCCAAGAGTGAGGGCCGGGTGCAGACGGGTGGGGTGTGGGACCTCGGACTGATTGGGTCCCCTGACAGCCGACTCCCGACCCCTGCAGCGCTGTACCTGCTGTACGCCCAGCTGGAGGAGGAGTGGGGCCTGGCGCGGCACGCCATGGCCGTGTACGAGCGCGCCACCCGGGCTGTGGAGCCCGCCCAGCAGTACGACATGTTCAACATATACATCAAGCGGGCCGCCGAGATCTACGGCGTCACCCACACCCGCAGCATCTACCAGAAGGCCATCGAGGTGCGGGGGCGGGTCAGGCTTGCGGGGGGAGCGGAGTGGGGGGCTGTCTGGAAGCCAAGGCCAGGCCAGCTCCCCCTCCTGCTCCCTGCTCCCAGGTGCTATCCGACGAGCATGCCCGGGAGATGTGCCTGCGGTTCGCCGACATGGAGTGCAAGCTGGGTGAGATAGATCGCGCTCGCGCCATCTACAGCTTCTGCTCCCAGATCTGCGACCCCCGGGTAGGTGCAGGGCCTCCCGGGTAGGGAGCCAGGTGGGCAGGCAGGCTGGTGGGCCAACAGGCATGGCTCACATACCTCCCACCTGCTCACAGACGACCGGGGCGTTCTGGCAAACGTGGAAGGAGTTTGAGGTCCGTCACGGCAATGATGACACAATCCGGGAGATGCTGCGGATCCGGCGCAGCGTGCAGGCCACCTACAACACCCAGGTTAACTTCATGGCCTCGCAGATGCTCAAAGTGTCCGGCAGCGCCACGGGCACCGGTGAGTAATGGTGGGCCTCAGCCCCTGGCGCACCAAACTCCCTGCATCCTTCCTCTGCCGGCCTGCCCTGTGGGGAGCAGCAAAGGGCTGGCAGGGAGGGTGGGTGCTAGTTGGATGGGGTGGTTGGTGGAGTGGAGGGGTGAGTGGGTGGATGGAGAGTTGGACAGGTGGGTAGATGCATGAATGGGTAGATGAATGGGTTAGTGGGGGGGGGTGTGAGGGGATAGGTTGGCACATGGATGAGTAGGATCCATGAGTGGGTGGATAGATGGGTTGGTGATGGATGGATGGATAATTGGTTGGTTAGATGGATGGGTGGAGAGGTGGGTGGGTACGTGCATGGATAGGTAGGTGGCTGGGCAGCAGCCCTGAATGATGTGGAGAGGCTTGCCTCGGCTCTTTCTGAGCACCGTCTGCCCACAGTGTCGGACTTAGCCCCTGGGCAGAGTGGCATGGACGACATGAAGCTGCTGGAACAGCGGGCAGAGCAGTTGGCAGCAGAGGCTGAGCGGGACCAGCCCCCTCGGGCCCAGAGCAAGATCCTCTTTGTGAGGTGAGGTGTGGGGACCCCAGGAGGTGCAGGGGCACAGGAGAGGATGTAGGAGCTGGCCCTGACAGGCTGTGTGGCCCCCTCATAAACCCCTCCCCCAGGAGCGATGCATCCCGGGAGGAGCTGGCGGAGCTGGCCCAGCAGGCCAACCCCGAGGAGATCGAGCTAGGGGAGGAGGAGGAGGACGATGAGATGGACCTGGAACCCAACGGTGGGTGAGGGGCGTGCTGGGTTGTGGGGTGGGGTGGGTACTGGGTGAGGGGCGTGCTGGGTTGTGGGGTGGGGGCAGGTTTTGGGTGAGGGGTGTGCTGGGTTGGGGAGGGGGGTGTATATGCAGGAGCCTTCCCGTGGTGACTGCCATCTCCTCACCCCCCCAGAGGTGCGGCTGGAGCAGCAGAGCGTGCCGGCTGCTGTGTTTGGGAGCCTGAAGGACGACTAGCTGCATACCCCCAATAAAGCCTGTGTTTGTACGTCATGGTCTGGGCCTCCTTCCTGCTGCCCAGGTGCCCGTGGGGACTGCCCGCTCAGCAGCAACCTGGCCACAAGCCAGACTGTCGTTCCCCCTCCTCCCACACCCCTCCTCCAGAGATTGGCTGGGGCCAGGGGTGGGGCAGCTGGGCATGGAGCCAGGCCAAAGGCCCTACCCCCACCCTACCCACTGAGCCAGTTCTAGACTCTGAGCCACCAGATCCTTGGCCGCCCAAGGCAGTTCCTTCCAGAAGCTCCGCGAGCTCAGAGCCTGGGGCCTCCCCCAGCGCCCAGCTCCTCAGCAAACACTTCTCCGTGGACACAAGCCACCAGCCAGAGGGCTGCTCCCCTCCCCCCGCCCCCCCTCCAGCTTTGGCGGGGCTGGCTAGAGCCCAGCTCTGGGAACTTGGGGTGCCCAGCCCTCAAGGGGTTGAGGCTGGAGGCGGGCCAGGAGGCCGAGCTGCTGCGAGGCTCAGCCGGGTGTGGCCTGAGGCCTGAGCACCGGGAGCCATTAGGCTCTGAGCAATCCCAGGCTGTACACAATGGAGCCACAGCATAATCCGATTTCCCTTGGGAGCTCACTGGGCTTGTGGGTGGGAAGGACATGTCAGATGGCCAGGCCTGGGTGGGTCAGGGAAGCTGCCCCAGGCCACCTGGCCACAGGACAGCCATGTTCTGGGCCGGTCTCACAGCTGTGGTGTAAGTGCCGATGTGCGAGGTGTCCAGTGGCCATGCCAAGGAAGCAACCGGAGACACTGGCGTGGATCCGGTTAAAACCTGGCCCTGAACCAGTGCTGGCAACCAGTGCCAGCAGCTGGGGGGGTGGTGGTGTGAGGGTGTGTGTGTGTGTAGGTGGGGGAGGGGCGTGGGAGGTGGGGGGAGAGTGTGAGTGGGAGAGTGTGTGTGTGAGAAGGAAGGTGAAGAGGGGGAGATGGGGAGCGAGGAGAGGTGAAATGAAGCAGGGAGGGGTAAAGGTGGGAAGGGCTGGCAGGGAGGCCCAGTGGGAAGTGGGGAGAGCCTGGAACAGGTGCCAGTGCAGGAACCAGAGAGGGCTAGGGGGGAGGGGGGAACCCCAGCCAGCCTGGAAACTTGAAACCAACTACTCTTTAAATTATTTTATTCAAGGAGGCCAGAGGGAGGCTGAGCTGAGCACCGAGCCTCTGCACCTCCCAGCTCAGCCCCCTGCCCCGGGACAACATAGACTGGGGGTGGGGACCCCAGCCCCACGCAGACAAGGCCGGAAACAGGCAGGACCCGGGAATGCCAGCTGTCCCCCGGCAGGAAGGGGCTATTTGGGGGTGCCGCCCCCCTTCTTGGGCGTGGTGGGCTTTTTGCTCTGCCAGAGGTGTCCCTGGATGGTGAAGGCGTCCACGCTCATTGACATGGTTTTGGCGGGGATCTGCGTGAAGCGCTTGCGGTCCGAGTTGTACTTGTAGATGCCCTCCACCATGGCCGGCGTGATGGTCCTCGGGCCATAGCCGGTCAGCCTGGACAGCTCCTCCGTCTCCCCCGACAACGTGTAGAGCGCCCGGAACTGGCAGCTGGAGTCTCGGAAGAGGATCAGGAAGTGGTTGGCCTTGCTCTTGTCAATCTCCTGAGGGGGGCGAGGGGAGCAGCGTCAGAAAGGGCGGGCTGGCAAGGTGGGCTCTGAGCAGCCAGCCCTGCCCCGCCGCCGGGCCCACCTCGAGGATTCGGTTCTTCTGCGGCTCGTTCACCTTGCCCGCCAGGCAGCAGTGTGACAGGGCGTTGTGGATGATGAACTTGTTGGACTTCGCGCTGGGCTCCTTGTAGAGCCTGGGGCCTGGGAGGCAGGGGAGGTTAGCAGGCAGGGCCGGGGGACAGGGAGGGCTCCCACTAGCCACCTGGAGCACCCTCTACCTGTGTACTCGGGCACTGACGCCGGGGATGAGGCGTTGCTGCCGTTCTCCCAGTCTCGCTCGCGGCTGCCGGGGAGGCGACTGGGGGACAAGAGGCCAGACGGGGAGGGAGCCCTGTGGGAAGGAGGAGGGGAGGCAGCCAGGGTTGGGGTCAGCTGGGGGCAGGCCAACATGGGAAGAGAACAGGAAAGGGGCAAGCCCAGATGACAGGCCTGGGAGGGGCTGTACACATACAGGGTGCACACTCCCAGGTAAACGTACAGGTCGCACGCTTCGGCACTCCATGGACACTCAGCAGTCCTCAGGTGCATGCGCGCACATCTCACACACTTGTACTTATCCATGCACAGACATTGAAGCTCCTCATGGGCTTGTGTACACTCACGCTCGAGCACACACACATTTGCACCACTTTACACTCGGGCTCATCCAAGGACTCGAGCGCAGCGCGCGCACACACACTAAAGCTTCTGGGGCACACTCACCGAGACATGTGTCTTTTCACGCCGAGATTATTGGGGACCTCGTTGGCCACAGTTGACAGTGACAGGGTAGACTGGGAGTAGACCTTGCTGAGCCTGGAGCCTGGAGCAAATGGCACTGGTCAGCCCCCACCTAAACCGTCACCCCAAGGGCCTAAGGGGGCCTGGCCCATCAAGCTCTGGAGGAGACTCGTGACCAGCCCTGCCCAAGACCCCTCACCCCACTGAACCCCTGCTAGACCTGCCACAACTCAGGACCCCCCCCTCCCCCCCATGCTATCAGAACAGAACCTGAACTACAGGCTGTTAGGGGCTGGTTTTGGAAGGTCACCAGGCCTTTCTTCTGAGACACCGGCTGAGCCATGAACGTCTACACCCCCCACGGACTCTAAACACCGAGTACAAGGGAGAGTAGTGCCCAGCAGGCCATGGGATAAAGCACTAGGTCCGTCCCCCTGCACCACCACCCCTCACCCCACACATTACTGTGGGGTCTCTGCCACCAAGCCATCTCCTGTAAGCTCTCACACACACAGGACTCCCACCAAGTCCTGCACAGACCTCCCCCCCAACACACACACCCTGCCCCTGCAATGCTCACCCAGCAGGCCTCGGGCGGGGCTGCGGGCCAGGGCAGAGTCATCGCAGCACCCCGAGCGAGGCCGGGGCGCTCGCCGCCCACCTCGGTTCGGCCGTCCAGCCCCCGCCCAGGGCCGCAACACCTTGTCCAAATCGTCCATGAGCTTCAGCTGGGCGCGGCGCTCATACTCCAGCCTCGTGAACTCCCCTCGCCTGGCGCCCACCTCCTCCTCGCCAGAGGCCCGGGACGCGGGGGCTGCGGGCGCCAAGGGGGCCGGGGGCGCCGCCTCCTCCTGAGCTAGCCTGCAGTACGAAGGGGCGATCAGACAGGCCGAGGGGCCACCAGCGCTCAGGACGCCCAGGCCGGGGGTCTCAGCCTCACCGGACAGCCGTCTCCTTCCGCTGCTCCTTCTCCGCCTCTTGCCACTGCTTCCGCCGCCTAGCCTCCTCCGCCCGCCGCTGCTGCCGCTCCAGCAGGCTGGCCCGCTTCTGCGCCATCTCGTCCTCGGGCTTGTCTTCCCCCTGGGGACAGGCGCCTGGTCAGAGGCCAGCCTCCTGTGGCCCGGCCGGCAGCTGCCCAGCCCGCTGCACCGTGGCCCTTCGCGTTTGCAACGATTCCAAGGGAGCCCCGGGGCCGTGCAAACACCAATGCGCGCCTCCGCTAAGCAGGCGGTTCAAACCCATCAGGCGGCACTGCGGCAGTAAGCCCGGCAATTCACTCCCTTCGAGCCACTGTCCAGTGGATTCTGACGCACTGTGATTCCACGATACAGAGTCGAACTGCCTCCTGGGTGTTCAGGCGGGTGTCCTTACAGGGGTAGACCACCCGCTCTCTGTTGACCCCCAGGGCTCTGCATTCTGTAAAGATTACAGCGCCGGGTGCCGCCCAAAGCACAGCCTTCCTCCGGCAGGGGCAGGGTCTGGCGTGGGTTTGAAACTTGACGGCGACTGTGAGGGTGGGTGCAGAGCCCTACTCTGGGTGCTGGACCACAGAAGGGGGCTGGGTGGTGCACAGAGCTGATGCCTTCAGTGGCTGCCCCAGAGCGTGAAGGTTCATGTCTACCTGGACATGCCTCGGGAGAAAGGTGTGGCAACCCACGGGGTGCAGTTCTAGGCTAGCACATGCAAGGTCACCACGAGTAGGGTCAATTGGGCTACTGGCCCAATTGGTGGGCAGCCCTATGCTGGGCACTGGGGTGGGCCTGGTGCTGCTCACACGTCTTAACCCACCGAGAAACTGAGAAAGATGACCAAGAGAAGCACTAGGCACTGCCAGGCACTCTGGGAGAGGGACTGTCCTCATCCTGGGCATCAAGGGAGGTTTCCTGGAGGAAGCAGGATGAGAACCTGACTGGGTCCAGGAGCCGGGCAAAGAAAGTATTCCTAGCAGAGGAAACAGCACGTGCAAAGGCCCTGAGGTCAGAAGAAGATAAGTAGGGTGTGGAGGAGAGCCCGGGAGGGTGGGCCCAGGTCTGGGTCAGATGTGAGCACCCCAGCACAGAGCCCAGGGCCCCTTGAGAGAGGAATCAGTTTCTTGCTAAAAGCGAGGGACTAAGAATGTAAACAGGGGCGTGGCAAGGGCCACGCTTGCATTTCCCACAAGCCACTCCCACCCCCACCCCCGCAGCTGCTCAGTGGGAAAACGGGGGTGGGGGTGGGGGCCAGTACAAAGCAGTGAGGTGGTGACCGTAGGTACCCAGGTGAGAGATGTCAGTGGTTCAGACTGGGGTACCATGAGAATGGGCAGGTGAGTGGACATGGGATGGGGTGGGGATATTTAGAAGACCATACCCATGTTTGCCCACCCACTGTCCATCTGTCCATCACCCACCTGTCATCTACCCAACCCTGTCAATGAGACAAACCATTAGTCCATCTCCCCATCATGCTCTCTACTGACCCACTTATCTGTCTATCAGACCACCCCACACCCTGTCCACGCTGCCTAACTACCTACTCACATATCCATCCATCTGCCATCCATCCAGTTACACACTCATCCACCAGTCCAGTCCTATCCATCCAACCATCCTTATAGTCACTGTATCCATCCACCCACCCACCACTTCACTCCCTAACAGATCCATCAACCTGGTCACCCACTCATTAATCCACACACCCACCTACCCAGTCACTCATCCATCCATTTGATCTCCTATGACTGATGTGTTGCCTCATTCCCTTAGCCATTTGTCTACCCGCCCACCTGGCCACCCCCATCCACTCCACCTATCTGTCCATCAGCTCATCTTGTCCAAACATCTACTTCCCTGGTCATCCATCAGTAAAGCCCTCTGCGTTTAGGGATCCAGCGCCCCATGTCCATCCACACCCCATATCACCTATCTTTCTACCAACCCACCCATCTGTGCACCCAGTCCCTCAGTAAAGCCCTACCATCTGTTAGGGACAGGCCACCCACTCGTATTTCTGTTTCAGCAGCCCTGGGTAACTGAAACACCACCCAATCACCTGTCCAGCACCCGCCCACCCCTACCCCCACTAATGGGCATCCGCATCCCTGCCCCCCTCACCTTATAGAAGAAGCCCAGTCCAGTCCTGGGCTCTCCCTCCGAAGACCCCTCTTCCTCCAGAGAGTCCTCAGCCCCTGGGGGGCTCCCTTCTCCTTCATCCTCTGCTGAAGGCCCTTCCAGGCTGCCCAGCGGGATCTCAATGAGGCCGGGCCGGCTGGCAGGCTGCTCGGGTGGTGTGCCCTCAGCCAGGAGGATGGAGGACCGTGTCTGCACGGGCACCTGGCTGGGGGAGAACTTGCGCAGGTGGGGGAGGCTGTCAACATCGTTGGGAGGGGTGAGCACTCTCGTCAGGGGCGCCAGCCGCAGCTCTGCTGGCCGAGCGTGTTTGGGGCTGCGGGGTGCTGGGCTGGGGCCTGGCACAGAGCTGCGACGGGGGACAGAGGCTCGACGAGTGGGGCTGGGGGATGCGGCTTTGGGGCCTGTCGTGGGACCGGGAATGACCCAGGCAGCGGGCGGCGAGGCAGGTGCGGGGGCCTCGTGTGGCGCCAGAAGCCGCTGCTGTTGGTCCGTGAGCCTCTGCATGTCCCGCTGCAGCGAGCTCAGCGCAGCGCTCAGTTTGCTGACCGCCCGGTTGTACTCGCCCAGGCCCTCGGGGGGCGCTGCCCCCAGCTCTGGCGAGAAGGTGACGGCCTTGGGCCGAGGGGAGGGCTCGCCCTGACCCTCGCCTGCCGGCCGCTCCCCACCAGGGGCTGGGCCCACGTCAGTCTCCCCAGCGGTAGCGTCCTCGGTGGAAGGGGCAGGGCTGGCCGCCTCTCGGGGCTGCACCTGCAGGAAGGCACTCTTGCCCAGGCGCTGGCGGTGCTTGGCGAAGATGGCCTCGATGCGCCGCTTCTGAGCCTCGATGGCGCGCCGCTTCTCCTCCAGCCGGGCACCCAGCTCGCTCATCTCTGAGCTCAGGGCCTCGGGGGCCGCTGGGGGCGTCGCTGGGGAGCCCCCACCCGCCTCAGCCTCCGCCTTCACCAGCTGCTTCTTGCGCTCAGCAAAGCTGGTCATCTTGACTTCCGAGTTGGTGGCCGCAGGGGACGAGGCCACTGCCTTCGGGGACCCCTCGGAGGGGGCCAGGGGTTTTAAAACCTCCCCGGCTGGGCAGGGGCTCTCGGGGTGGGGCAAATAGATGGGGGCCTTGGGGAGCCCTTCCGACGGGTAGGAGGAGCTTAGCGGCTTCGAGGGCCCCTCAGGAGAGTGGAGGTAGAAGCTGCCATCTGCTGCCCCATCGGGGAGCAGCCGGGGCTCGGCGCTGTGGATGATCTGCAGGGCCTCCTCGATGGTGGGCAGGTCTCCGGGCTCCGGCGGGGGCTGCGCGGGGCGGGGCGGCCCCAGGCTGTCCGAGCTGACAGAGCGGAGCAGGACAGGGTCTCCCATGACGACGTCCACGTCGCTGTCCAGGCCAAAGGGGGTGCTGAACGACACAGCCTGGGAAAGGGGACGGCTGGGTGGCCAGAGGGAGGGGTCAGCCCCTGGGGTGTGCCTTGGACCCGCCCTACCCATCCTGCCCACCCACAGCAGCGCTCACCTGAGCTGGCGGTTCCAGACTTTGCCCAGGGCCTCCATATGGGACATGGATGGTGAGGACTGCAGGGAGCCTGGGGAGACGGGGAAGGGGGTCACTCAGCGGGCACGGGGAGGGGGGCAGAGGTGTCATTTGGCAAGTCACTGATGCATCATTGTGTGTTCTCCTCAGACCAGACACTACGGGCCATGCAAGGTCAGGAGGGGCCTCTGGGGGGACCCGTTTCTGATTGGGTGGGGTGTCCCCTCCAGCTCCTCACCTGTGGATCCTCGGAGTGGGGACTGGGGGCCACCGGGTGACAGGAGTGGGTGGCGGAAATTGAAGACGGGAGAACTGCCAAGAGACCCCAGTTAGCCCAGGGATGCCCCCACCCCCACCCCACCCCACCCCCTTCTGCAGCCCAGGTAAGAAGCAGGAGGGGGAACTGTACCTGCCACCACTGCGGTTCTGAGGCGGGGAGGCCTCCATGCCTCGGGGTGAGGTGGCTGTGAACAGAGAAGGTGTTCAGGCTTGGCCAGGCTGCCCACACACATGCCTCCCCGCCTCCTGTCCCTGGGCCAGGCCTCACCGTGCCCGTCGGGCAGGGCTACGGGCTGCACAAAGTCAGGTCTCAGCACCTCAAAGCACGTGAACATCTCGGCCAGCAGCACCACCAGGTTGACCTGCAGGCAGAGCCGGCCAGGGTCAGCCGCCAGCCACCCCAGCCCAGGACACCCATCTGGGCCCCGCTGGCCCCACGGTGGCTTCACCTTGAGGGGCGGGGGTACGTAGAGCAGGTCCTCCAGGGATAGCGGGCAGCCACGGGGGAGGCGGGAAGCGCAGAAATCTTGCACAAGCTGTAGGTTATACAGGCTGTCGGCCACCGACATGGGGTCCTTGAGGCAGACCTCTGGGGGACAAGAAACCAAAGTTCCTGACTTTAGGGACAGGAGGGGCACCAGGGCCCAGCAGCAAAGACACCAATGGCCCCCACCCATAGAGGATCTCCTCCAAGCCGGACATCCCTCAGTGAGTCCACGAGACTGGACCCCTGGACCTGTGCACCTGCTCTCCCCACTGCGGGCATGCAAACCCCCAGAGCTAGCTTCCGTGGGCCTCAACTCAAGTCCCAGGAATGTCGCTCCTGACCATCCACAGCCCTCCAGGGGAGGCAACGGCCGCTCCACGGCTATAATGGACTGATGAAGCTTATGGTTCTCCCCTGAAGGGGGGAGCTGTCCAGGGGCTGAACCTCAGGAAGCTCAGAAGTGGGAGGTGCCTCGTACAAGGGCACGTGGCTCATCACAGGAGAGGCGTGGTCTCTGGAAGGCCCATGGGACCCACCCCACCATCCTGCCCCTAGCTGAGCTTGAAGAGCTGTTGGGAAGACAGAGGCCTGGATGCTGGGTCGTGGGCCATCGGCTCCCAGGGCCGGGTCTGACTCACCCTCTAGTCGCAAGAGCTGGGGACAGTAGCAGTGGATGGTGGCGGCCAGTGCAGCCCCACTGGCCAGGTCCTGGAGGCCGGTCACCGTGGGAAAGCAGGGAGCCCGTCGGGCCACAGCCCGGTCCTTGCGGTACCGGATCTGCATGTGGGTGGGAGTAGTAGGGTCAGGTCAGCGGGCAGTCTGGCCCCCTAGGTCAGAAGTCATGCAGGCTGGGTGGGGAGAGCTGGGGTCCTCGCCCTGCAAGGGTGAAAAGCTGGGGGTCCCAGAGCCAGAGTGGGGGGCCAGCCTGGAGCGGGGAGGGGCAGCAGCGAGAGGCAGAAGTGGTGCCTGCGTGCAGCCAGGCCAGCAGCAGAGGGCTGGGGGCGGGGACACCTGGGACCCTGGGGGCAGGGGATACATTACCATAGGGGGTTTGCTCCCTGACTCCTTCAAACAGAAGGCAATTGCGTGCTGGGGGGAGAGGAGCAGCCGTCAGCCGGGCAGGAGGGGGTGCTGACTTGCTGGGCCCCCAAGCCCACCTCCGGGGGGCGGATATCCCTGACTTCTGACCTGAGCCCTGGCTGTCCAGCTGCCTACCTAAGCTCCAGCTGGCTGTAGGGACCTCCCAGAGCAGCCCCCCCATGCAGGCACCCCTCCCACAAAAGACCAGGCGCCCAGCTTAGGATGAGGACGCATGGGAAGCAGGTAGGCAGGAGAGGACCCCCACCCCAGGCCTAGGGCAGGTGGAGGAGGCAAGAGCAGAGGTGGGGACACCCTCCCCACTGAGGGAGTCACAAGTGCTGGTCCGAGTCCCACAGGGGACTCCACTCTCAGTTAAGGAGGGTCCTCTCCCATCTTCTGGATTTTAAGGTCTTTCTCTTGGCTGGAGGATATCTTCCCACATGCCCCCTTGGGTCACCATGCCTGAGGTCTGATGGGCTGGGGGCTCTCCCAACTTGGCTAAGGGACAGAGGCTAACAGGGATGAGCTATGGGAGTCAGTATGTCATTTTTCTCTCTTGACTAAGGTGGAGGGAGCTTCCTCCACACCTCACCAGTTAGTGGGGGAGAAGCCACCCTTTTCTTGGTCAACAGGGGTCTTTTGGGGTTGGGGTCTGCCCTCCTTTGCTCATTGCTGGGGGTTGGCAGGAGAGGGTTCTAACAGGCAGGCAAACAGACACACAGACAGCAACACGAGGGACAGGCAGACAGGGTGGACAAGCAGCCCACTTACAGGAACCAGCTTCCAGTACCAGCGTGTGGGGCACTGAGGCCCGAGAGGCAGACAGGAGCAAGGGGGGTGCAGGGAGAGGGGGCACAGAGAGAGAGAGAGAAAGAGTCACCGGCTGGCAGCCCACCCACTGCAGGAAGGGTGCAAGGCACAGCCCGCCCTGCCCACCCAGCCCCTAGCCTGTCTCCCCCTCCGGCTCACCGAGGGCTGTGCTGGGGCCACCGTGTCAGCAGGGGCTGCCGGTGATGCGCGCTGGGCTGCGTCCTGCTCCGTCTTTTCCTGCAGGCGCCGGACGGTCTAGGGGGCAGAAGAAGTCAGTGCTCAGCCACTGGGGGGGCCTGCCCCAGCCTACCCCAAGCAGACCTTACCTACCGAGTCCACCCAGAGGAGGAGCTTGTGTTCCAAGCTGCCCAGAGCCAAGGTGCCTGGCAGCGTCTTCGTCCACTCAAAGGCGAAGGCAACCATGAGGGCGTCAATGACAGCTAGGTGGGCACCCTGCAATAAGGACTGGGAGTGAGGCCAGGATAGGTGGAGCTGGGGGGCAGGGCGGGCCCAGAGTGGGCGTGGCAGAAAGGAGAGGGCAGCACTAGACTGGCCAGGCAGGACGAGTGGGCGGGGACAGGAAGGAGAAAGCTGGGCAGGTGCAAGTAAGTCTAGGAGAGGGTGGGGCTTGGGTGGGCGGGGCATAAAGCAGGCGGGGCAGGAAGGGGAGGGCGGTACTAGAGGGGGCGTGGCAAAAGAGGGGGCAGAGCTCCATTGAGGGCACAAGGCTGGAATGGGCAGGGCTGGAGGCCGAAACCTGAGGGGGGGGCAGTGGGTGGAGCCAAGGGAAGGAAGTGGGATAAAAGTCCCAGAAAAGACCGGCTTGGTGGTCGACCTTGCAGCCAAATACTAAGCTTAGGAGTGGGTTGCACTTTTAGGGGGTGGTGCCTTTGGGGGAGGAGCCAAGTTTGGTGGGCGGAGCACTGGAGAAGTTAGGCCTCAAGGCAGGGGGGTGGAGCCTGGCCTAGGTCCGCATGAACTGGGCGGGGCTAAACCTGGGGGCGGGGCCTACCATAAGGATGGGCTGGTGCCGCAGGTCAGCTTCGCACACGGGGCGCTCGGGCAGGGCGGGCACGGAGCCCTTCCGCGTCAGCAGCGCCAGCAGTGCCGAGGGGCCGGGGGGAGCCTCCAGCTGCGGCAGCGCCTGGCGCCAGGCTCTGCAGTAGAGCTCGGCCGAGAGCAGCAGCCTCGTGACGGGGGGCTTCACGTGCTCCTGCGCATACTGGTCGGTGTAAAAGGGTTCCCACAGCTCCGGGGGCACGTGCTCTGTGAGGGGCAGAGAGGAGCCGCGCCAGTCAGGGGCACTGCAGAACCCCTAGCCCTACCCGAGACCCTCCCTGAACACACGGTCCCAAGGGCCCTGACACGGGTGGGTGCCCCGGGCTGGGAAAGTAGCACCTGAACTGAAAGGGCAAAGAGGGAGGGCTTTGGAGGCTGTCCTAGCCCCCAGGGAAGCCCCGTGGCCAGCTAGGAAGAGGGGCTCAAAGGGGAGAGGCCGGACCTGCCTCCCCAAATGCTTGGAACCAAAACAACTCGCAACTCCCTGCCCTGCGGTCCATTCCGACTCATAGAGGCGCTGGTGACCAATGGGTTAAGCTTTGAGCCACTAACTACCAGCTGAGCAGTTCAAACCCACCACTGCTCTGAGGGGCAAAGATGAGGCCGTTTGCTCCAAGAAGCTTCACATGCCTAAGGAGTGGCCCTTTGCTGCCCTGTAGGGTCTCTGAGTCAAAGGCTTGGTTGCGAAGGGGAAAAAGCATGGACCATAACAAACTGAGTCACAGCCTGAGTGTGGTCCCGTTTGAGCCTCCACCATGACGCTGGAAGCAGCTCAGGGCCAATTGTTAATTGGCTTCCCGGATGAGGAAACTGAGGCACCGAGAAGGAAAGCATCCTGCCAGGGGCCACACAGCAGGATGGCCAAGGATGAGGTGGGGCTCACCCTCAGGCCTGACCATCCCGCCATCATCTGGCTCTCGCCTGGGGCTGCTGGAGGCGTGGGGGTGGGCACCCTGGGAAAGGGCGGGTTCTCAGGCAGGACCCTAGCACACTTCTGGGGGTTGGGGGTTAGGGGTTGTTAAGCCTGCCACCTGACTTGAGGAGGTAGAGAGGGGGAGGCACCCAAGGCTTGTGTTGGATCTGGGATCTGAGGGGGGAAGATGGAGCAGCCAGGTGGTGGCTGCAGCAGGTAAGGGGGTAGAAGCTGAATGTTGAGGACTTGGGGCTAGGACAGCTGGCCGGGCATACCAGAGAGGCAGCCATGGCAGCCCTGGGTGAGCAGGGCAGGGAGGAAAAGGGGAGGCGGCCCCACTGGGGGAAGCAATGGGCAGGTGGGTGGCAGAGGGCCAAGCAGGACCCAGCAGTGAGGACATGCACAAACAGAGGAGCTGCCAGGCCGCTTCGGAGAAGGGGACTGAGGCCAACACTGCCCTGAGGGGAACAGGGGACTTGACCTGACAGGGATACCTGCCCTGGGGGTGGGAGGCAAATCTGGGGGAGGCTCCTGGTCCTCCTGCTGCTCCCAGAAGAATAGCTGTGTTATCTATTGAGGCTTGATGTAGGCTTGAAAGGAGTCCCTGGTGCTAACCGAAAGGTTGGAGTCTCAAAACCCACCCAGAGGTGCCGTGGAGTGGAAGGCAGGCCTGGCAATCAGCACCCCCAATGCCGCAGGCCTGAAATCCCTACGGAGCCAAGCTCTACTCTGGTACAGTGGGGCTGCCAAAGTAGTAACTGGTGAGGACAGTATTTCAAAGAAGGGTTCTGTGCCTTAAAAAAGTCTTTGAACGTGACTCCCCCATCCTTCCCCAAGTCACCCTCTTCACATCCACCCCCCCCAGGTCCCACCCTAGCCCTCGAGGTCCCAGGGCTCCTGGGCTCCAGCATTCTTTCCATAGGCTCCTTCCGTACACCCCAAGATCGCTCCTGTCCTCCCCTGTGCCCCCCACTGCCACCTACAGACCACTTCCTCCTCCAGCTCAACTCAGCCCTCCCACTCCTATCCTGCCTACCCAAGGCCAGCAGTGACCGGCTGAGGCACACTTGTGGACTTGGATCTTGGGCTCTGTGCCTGAAACTCCCTCCTTCCGGACTTCCTCCTCCTGAGTCTCCCAGCTTTCTCACCCCAGGCAGCCAAGTCCTCAGGGCCACCATCATGGGGCCCTTGATGTGGGCTCCAGGCGGCTTATCTGAGTGCCTTGGCTTATCTGAGATGACTTCCTGTGACTGCTGGGCTGAATTCTGTCTGCATGTCAAGAACAATGCTAAAATCTTCACCCCTGGGCCCCTGATCTGGTTTGGAGAGATGCACGCAGCTGAGCTCATTCTGGAGTAGGGAGGGTCTTCGTCTGGCACACGCCAGCTGCCGCACAGCACATTCTGGTGTCCAGGGATCCCACATACATCAGAACAGAACTGCATGCCCCAGGCTTTCCCACTGCTGTGCTCGGACGGACGCAGATCACCGGGACATTCCCATGCAATCAGGGACTCCCATGCAATGCTATCTTTGCAGAAGAGACAGTGAGAGGGGGTGGGGGTTGGGGAGCGAGACAGGGAACACTGAGGCAGAGAGAGAGGAGTGATACCACCCCAGACCAAGGACAGCCTGAGGCCACCTGAAGTTGGGAGAGGCCAGGATCCTCCCCTAAAACCCTTCAGGGGGCACCTGCACTGCCGACCCGAATTTCGATTTCTGGCCTCAGAGGTTCGAGAATCCCTTTGCTGTGTGTGAAGACACCTGCCAGGGGTGTGTCGCTACAGCAGTCCTAGGAAGTGCTGACTGAACCCTCAGGTGGTGTCAATGGATAACCCACACAACGACAAGCCAGGAGGTTGGTGGTCCAAACCCACCCTGGGAGAGTGCCTGGGAAGAAAGGCCTGGCTATCCATTTCCAAAGGTCACAGCCTCGCAGTGCTGCTCTGTACACGTGGGGTTGCCAGAGACAGGAGTCCACACCACAGCAACCACCTGAAGCAACACCATACTTGGGGGGGGGTGTCCCTGGGGCACATGGTTTGCTCTTGACACTAACCTACACGTTGGTGGTTCAAACCAGCCCAGTAGCACCACAGAAGATGGGCCTGGCAACCTGCTCCCGCGACCCCAGCCAAGGGGGAACCCCACAGTGCTAATTTCCACTCTGAAACACATGGAGATGGGCAACGTGCATCCGAACAGACTGGGATTAGGTTTCTTTCACCTCCCAGAGGAGACAGACGGGCCTTGTTGCAGGTTCTCTCTGGGGCAAAATTGCTCCCGGGTGGAACCCACTGCTTTATACCACTGAGTGTTGACCAGGCATTTCCTGTCCACCAGCGCTAACAGAAATAGAACGGGAGCCCCAGCTGGGGCTGTCGTTTTTTTCTACTTTAAAAATAGCAAAAAAAAGAAAGAAGCAAGTGAAATTAATTTAGGAACATATTTTGTTTAAGCCCACTATACTCCAAGGGGCGGAGCCCTGGTGCCGGCGTAAGAATGATATATTAGGCTGCTGCCCGCAAGGTCAGCAGTTTGAAACCACCAGCCGCTCTATGGAAGAAAGGGAGAAAGATGAGGCTTTCTACTCCTGTAAAGAAACCCACAGGGGTAGGTCTACCCTGTCCTGCAGGGTCACAATGAATTGGAATCAACTTGATGGCAGTGAGTTTGGGGAGATGCTCGAAGGATAGGGCCCTGCTGGTGCAGTGGTTAAGTGCTTGGCTGCTAACCCCAACGTCTGCAGTTTGAACCCCCAGCTGCTTGGCGGAAGAAAGACATGGCAGTCTACTCTCATTAAGATCACAGCCTTGGAAACCCCAAGCAGCAGTTCTTTGAGCTGGAATCGACTCCACAGGAATAGGGTTTTTACACCCAAGAGGTCGTCACTTCTACAAGAAATCAATAGGAGACATTATGAACGGAACATTTTACTCTCCTTTCTTTGGCTAAGTCTCCAGGATCTGCCATGTTTCTCATATGCTCATTGGACCCCGGGAGCCAGGCCAGCCACCTGGCAGTGCCCAGGCGCGCCCTGGGCTGCACAGCTAACGCTGACTTGTGCCCTGGCCTTGCGTGCCTTCCCTCTTCTGAGCCTTACCCCCTCTCCACAGATGAGAAGACCCAGGTCCCAAGAGCCAAGCCGGCTAGGTGAGCAGACCTGAAACCCGCTTCCCAATGCATTAGGGACCTGCAGGTGCTGTTTCCCAGACTCATTCCGGAAGCACCATCTCTGAGCCCACCTGCCTGCATTCCTGCCCAGCCTCCTCATTCCCTGGTGCTTATCACATCCCCACGCACAGCTTCCAGGCCCTCCCAAAGCAAGGCCAGCCCTCTGGCACCTCACCACCTGGGATGTGCGGGCTGGGGAGGTTGGAGTGCTCCTCACAATGCCTTTTCTTTCTCAAGCAGATCCGGTGGGGTAGGCTAGGGTGTGGGTGGGGCCTGCCTGCATGGGAAGCAGCAGGGAGAGACTAGGAGGGAACAGGGATCTATCTGTGTGTTCTCCAAGAATCTCTTGCGGATGTACCCCCAGGGTTCCTTTACATTCATTCTCTTTCCCCTGGCAAACTCCTAAACATCATTCAAGGCCCTTTCTCTCCTCGGGGAGCCTTCTCTTCCCTCCTATGGAGATTTCAGGGATTTCCTTCTTGGGATGCCGGGCACTGATCACTCTAAGCAGTTTAGCCCACTAAGCAGAGATAATCTGTCCCATCCCCTCCTCCCTTCCACAGCCTCAGCACCTAGGACCAGCCTGTCACCACCCTCCCAGGGCTCTGCCCTCACTGCCTTCTTCAGTCCCGTTTAGAGCAGGTGAGAGGAGGGCAGTTTGGACTGGACCCACAGGGAAATGACAGCTACCTGAGATGTCACAGAGGGGTGTGGGTGCTGCTAGGTCAGTATGAACCAAACCAGCAAGGCAAGGGATCAGGAAATGTGGCTCTGGCCACAATATTAATATTGGAATAATACCGATGTTATTACTAATAATTGCAGCCAAACTCGCAGCTGCAAACGAGGGCATCTGTTTTGAGTGAGTTTGGTTTTCCCGTTTGGTCTGAGACCCAACTCGCTGCCATCAAGTCAATGCTGGCGGCACAGCGACCCGCTGTGGGTTTCGGGGACTGTTTATGGGAGTCGAAAGCCTAGGCTTTCTCCCCCAAGAGCTGCTGCTGGTGGTTTTGAACTGCCGACCATGATCGGATTGCAAGCAGCCCAGCTCGTCGCAGACGGAACACAGGGATTTCTATTCAGCATCCCATCCATGCCCGAACACATGGGTGCCCCCACACATCTACAAACTGAGTCAAGACCGGAACTAGGGTTTCCCAGGAAGAGGGGAAGCCGGAAGCTCCGAGAACTGAAACCATGCTCTGGGAGGGTTAGCATTCAAAGGCAGCACACATGATTCCCAAGTCCAGCCTTCTAGCACCTGGGATGTGAGGGGCTGGGGCGGTTCTGGGCCCCACTCACGGCCCCTTTTCCTTCTTGAGCAGATGGGGGGAGGGGGGTGTTAGGCCCCAAAGTGGGGCCCACATGGAAGGCGGCAGTGGAGCGAATCTAGGATCAAGAGTAAGGAACAGGCTCGGGCGGATCCGGAGGCTGGACCGCTGTCACCGAGACCCACACCCAGAACAGGTTGATCTGGGAGGGTCACGGGAGGGGGAAGGGACTGTACCCAGCTGGTGCCAGGCCCAGTGGGAGAGCAGGGCGTCCCCCCACCCCCACCCCCTCCCAGGAAAGCCCAGACCCTAATTAACCCCATCGGCCTGCCTGCGCTGCCAGCTCTGGTAGCAGGCGTCCTGGGCCTCTAATCCCGGAAACCTTCCCCATCCTCATCAGGCGGCCCAGAGCAGACCTAGGGGGCTGCAGAAGGGCGGGGAGAATCCGCCCGGGGCGGAAGGCCCTGCTTCCCGCGGCACAAGGACCAGGAACCGGGATCAGCCCCAGGTGATCTTGTGCCAACCCTTCCCCTTCTCCCGGGCTCGCCGGCCTTCTCGCGTAAATGAAGCGATGGCTCACACCTGCCGGAGGCCG